ACCATCATCACATGGGAAAATTTTGAAAATATGAATTTTGGAACGCTACCTTGGATCCACCTAACTCTGGGGATGGAATGCGCCACCTGGGATTTAATAAGCTCTGCAGGGGACCTTGTGTCACTTGTGCCTTGAATGTGTTACAGGTGGATGATCCTCTTGGCCCAGCAGGGAAGAAGCCAGAGCCTGCAGGCTAATCACAGGCAGTTCTATCTTTACTGACTTTTTGTTATATGTTTATTATTTTCTGAGTGTTCTGAAGTGAAAAAAGGCCAGAAATAACTGCCTTAGGGAGCTGAGGAACTTCTCGTTTATATTTTTAAAATCTGGTAATAATAATGCCAATATTATTTTAACAGCAAGAAACTATTATATACTGAATGTCTACAATGTGTTAAGCAATATATACGTATTTTGTTGTGGTTGTTGAAACTGACACCACCCTATGAGTTAGTTACTATTATTCCCCATTGTACAGATATGGAAATAAGGCTTTGAGAAGTTATGAGAAATCCTCAAGGTCATCCAGTGAATAGTGCACCGGTGGCATGGACCCTCAGGGTATTTCCAAGGCCATGATGCCCATGCCTTGGTCAGGGTTAATACTACTACTTCTAACACTCAAAGTTTGCTCTGTGCCAGGCATTACTTCGGGCACATTACGTATTTCTTCAATTATTACAACTATTACTATTTCCATTTGACAGATGAGGAGACTGAGGCTCAAAAAATAACTTTTCCAAGGGCACAAGCTGGGAAACTGAATCTGGGATTTGAACTCAAGAAACCTGGCTCTGATTACATGCTCTTCACCTTCAGGAAAGCCTCCCAGTCCACAGAGGAGGGAGGCGGAGATGCTGTGGTAATCATTAGGATAAGACTACTTAATGATGCCTACTGCTGTGGAAATACATGAAGTGGAGGGCATCTGTGGCTAGGCCTGCCATGCAGCCCATTTGCTCTCTTTCCTCTCCTGTGTTTCCAGCTCACACCTGTTGCCCCAGGGCCTGGCCACAGTGCTTTCAGTCCATAAGTCAGGCACATGTGGAGACGCCATGCCCCTGAACTGGCTCTGGTGTACAGCTGCCTGTGGGTTACATTCTTCTCTGCACACATCATCACAGACTGGAGCCTCCTCCTGCAGCCTGTCCTCAGACCTCAGGGCCCTGCATAAAGCAAGCCCAGTCATGAGATGGGAGAGTGCAAAGCCTCTTCTAGCAATAGTGATTGCCTTGGAGGCCTAACTACCTCCAGGGTAATTTTGATCAGAAGTCTGGTCTTGTGTGTGAGGAAGCTGGGATCTTGGCCTTCAGGACAAAATAGGAATAGCTTAAACAATTAGAGAATACTTTCTGGGATATATATAATTTTTCTATACACACACCAGCTGGAGTAGAGTGGGGAAAGAATGGCACTGGGAAGGTACGGCTGACACAGAAGCCTGATACACAGGGAGCAAACAAACTTGCCCCAGTTTTGAATTCACCTCTAATTTTATAGCCAGTATCCTGAGGATTGCCCTAGGCCCTTCTGTTGTTTATACTTGCATTCCCATCATCCCTTCACATGTCTACTGACAAGGACTGGCTATAGTCCTCAAATGGAAAGGTTTGACGTTTCTATCAAATAGTAGGTGTTTTGGTAAGGAGGGGATAAGCTTCACTTCTGGCCACAGCTACAGGAATACCATTCTAGAAGTCTGTTAGTAACAATAATTGTAAGAATCTGTGAATTTTACTTTTTCTTCCAGGAGAGAGAGAGAGAGCACAAGTAGGAGGAGCAGCAGAGGGACTGGGAAAAGCAGGTTTTTCGCTGAGGAGGGAGCTTGACTTGGGGCTTGATCTGAGGATGCCAGGATCTTGACCCAAGCTGAAGACAGATGCTTAACTGACTGAGCCACCCAGGTGCCCCAGAATCAGTGAATTTTATATGACTATGTTACTTCTAGTCTAATCTTCAGTGCTTAGGCATATCAGATTTTTCAGAAGGGCATGGGAGATGGATGGGGCAATTGCAGTGGCTTCTGGGGTTGAAAAATCATACAGAAGGTCACCCTCCTTAACTTGCCTCCTACCTTTCAGAAAAGGAGGACAGTGGCTGTTCTGGAGTGAGAGAAATGAAGGGGAGATGTCACAGAGTGGTAGCAGGCAGTGACTGGAGCCTAGGTGATCCTCTCCTAAGCCCAGTGTTAAGCTCCTTGAGAGGCAGAACTCTATCTGTTCATCACTGTATCCCCAGTGTGCATAAGAGCTCCTGGCACAAAATCAGCACTCAAGAATACTTGATGAAATGAACTACTGACACCTGGTAAGACATGCGTGAACCTCAAAAACATGATGCTAAATGAAAGAAACTAGTCACAAAGGACCACATATTATTGGACTGAATTTATTTGAAAGATCTAGAAGAGACAAATTTATAGAGATAGAAAGCAGCTCAGTGCTTGCCCAGGGCTGAGGAGGAAGAGAGATTCGGGAGTAGCGGCTAAGGAGTGCAGGATTTCTTTTGGGGGTAGTTAAAATGTGCTAAAATGGATCATGGTGATCGATATGAATAAACTCTGTGATTGGACTAAAAGCCACTGAATTTTATATTCTAAGTGGGTAATTACATGGTATGTGAATTGTATCCCAAAACACTGAAAATTTTTGATGAATATATAAAGGAATGAACAAATGAATATAGGATACAGTTGCTGATTTTTGTTCGTAGCATTACTTAGAACCATGGCCTATTAGAACCATGTAAAATGCCTGACAAGGGATATCATTCATATGTTCACCCAATCAGGAGACACTTCTGGAGTGTGTAGCATGCGTCCGGGTACTGTGCTGAGTGACAGTGATCCAGCTGCAAACAAGGCTGGTATAGATCATGCCTGCCCTCGTGGAGCACACATAATCACACTTACTGTTCCTTTTCTCTAAGAATTCTTTAGTTAGAGTTCACAGTTGATTTTTATTATTCAGCTATGTAGAAATCATAGTACAGTCTTTAAGAGTATGGAGTTTTCCCCTCAAAATTTTGGGGTGGAAGCTTTCTTAAAATGAACTGACCCCAAGGGGAATTATCACTGGAAATCTGAAGGTAACACCTTTTATTTTTTTTAATTTATTATTATTTTTTAAGATTTTATTTATTCATAGAGACAGAGGGAGAGAGGGGCAGAGACACAGGCAGAGGGAGAAGCAGGCTCCATACAGGAAGCCTGACGTGGGACTCGATCCCGGGTCTCCAGGATCACACCTGGCTGCAGGCGGCGCTAAACCACTGTGCCACCAGGGCTGCCCAGGTAACACCTTTTAAAATAATCTCCCACATTTTATTTTCAACTATGGAAGAAAAACCAATCTAAATCTTTGGATAGCAGGTAAGTTAAAATGATAAAACCTGAACTGTAGCTTTCACCAGTGGCCAGTTGCCCCTGGAGGAGGTAAGTATCCACTGAACAATGAGGGGAAAAAGGTTTTGGGTGCGTGGTCAGTAAGCAAGTTTTGCACATGATCAGCAAAATCAGTGCATGAGCTGTGAGCTGCAAAACAGCCTGCTCCAATATGAGGCCGGTGCCTGTTGCTGGCAGCAGAGGACTTCCCATCTTTTTAGTTGACGGGGGAGCTGGTTGGCTTATTTCAGAAAGACCCAATGGTTTTTGGTGTAGTGTAATTAGTGCAGTCATGGTTTCAGTGGGTCAGACCACCACGCAGAAATAACTTCACAATATGAGCAAGTCAGAGTGTAAGGAGGTTAAGAGCAAAGTCTCTGAATTCAGGCAGCCTCTGCAGCCTCTGGGTTCAAGTCAGGCCTCTGCTACTTAAAAGCTATCAGTAAATTCAGACAACATCCTTGACCTCTTTGAGCCTCCACTTCTTTTTTTTAAATTGAGTTATATGAATTTCCTCTTCAGTAAAATAGGAAGGTAACAGTTTTTATAAAGATTGAGATCATTAAAGTAAGTGAATTTAAATGAAACAATGAAGATAAATATGCATACATTATGATTTAGGTAAGATGGGCATTTAAAAAATATTACTGAGACTTTACTTTGAGCAGTTTTAGGTTCACAGCAAAATGGAGGGGAAGGTACAGAGATTTCCTACATACTCCCTACTCCCACTCATACACAGCCTCCTCCATTGTCAACATCCCATGGGGCACCAGAGTGGAATGTTTGTTACAACTGATGAACCTACACTGACAGAGTTATCACCAAGTCCATACTTTATATTACCCTTCACTCCTGGTGTTGTATATTCCATAGCTTTAGACAAATGTATAAGGAAATGTATCTATCACATATACTACAATACAGGGTATTTTCCTAAAAATCCTCTTTTTTGGCAATTTCAGACAACACAATTTTTTGAAATACTTCCACTTGCCACCTTAGCTCAAATTCTGCCTTAAGGAAAAGTTAACTGAGGCATACTCCGACTACCTCATTTGGTTAAAAATGTGAATGACTATGAAACCAAACTCAGAAATTAGGGGGTTCTAAACCATTTTTGTCAAGTCTTCCTGGTTCTGGACTGGTCTTGAAAATCTTTTGGCATAAGTAATACGATTTATTCTTCCCTCAATTGGGCTTTATCACCTTCATGCCTTTCCAGTCTCCAATCTCAATCTGCTCCTTCACTGGTTGCTGCCAACTCTTGTCCCTTCTCTTCTCAGAACATCCTCTAGAGGTTTCTGTGTGTGTGTGTGTGTGTGTGTGTGTGTGTGTGTATGTGTTTGCCTCTTCATCTCATCACCCCTCAACTCTATCTGCAGACCCCAAGACTCCCCACAGAAACCACAAAGGATCATTTGCCTTCCCTTTGGAAATGGCAGAAAGTATTATGTTTTGGGACAAATCCCAAATAGACCCCTCTCCAAATGCCAGTTTCTTTCTAATGGTTTTTTAGTCTTCCTAATGGTTTGTTAGTTTGTATACATTTCAGGTTTCTCCAAGAAGCCCTGGTACACAGAGGGCTGAACTGGCTTCTAGAGCCCAGGGGACATACCTGGCTGCTTTCTGAGTAAGCTCCAGCGGGAAATCCGGGCACAGCAATTGCAGCAGACAGTGATATTCTCTCATGGTCAGCAAATCTGAAGTTGAAATAGAGAGGAACACATTAAGTCTCTGTGTGGGAAGGCACTGATTGCTCTCTTCTTGGCCATTTTCTGGGCTTCAGACATAGTCTCGGTAGAGCTGCTCTTATAAAGGTGAGTCAGTGTTATGGGTGTGCTAGCCACTAACCTCTGGAGGTGAGATTTTAAGATCACTGTTTCTACAAAGTTTTTCCTGGGTGGAAGCTATCCTGCTACAATATTTTGCCACAAGCCACATCCAATGGTTTGAAAAATGGTCGGGTGAGAAGGGAACAAGAGGGGTACCTTGAGCAGCCTTCTTAGTTTGGTTTTCCTTGTGCATGAAAATCCACAAGAATGAGTCGTTTCAAAGCTGGTTAAATCTGCTGAAATTCTCTGGCATGGTAACATCCACCACAACATGCCCAAAGACCATCCTCAGAATATCTGGAAGCACTACTAAGGCAAACTCAGTCTTGCAATATATGGAGAAGAATACATAATAGCAACCCACAGACCTTATTACTCTGTCATCCAGGATTACATGGGTAGGCTTCGTTTAGATGCCTGCACACAAATCTGGTCATCCTGTTATAGAAAGCCAAGACAAATGTTCAAGATATACAATCAAGGCAACCAAATGATTCCTGATATATAGAAGTAGTGCTCTGGGAGAGGTGAGCCAGGATGAGGCTCTCTAGCCCATCAGAAAACCCAGAGAGGCAAATCTCGGGGAGGTCTATAGGATCCCAAGGGAGAGAAAATACACTGATGTGTAAAGGTTTTTTTGTTACTGCATGAACCAAAGCCAAAAGATTTTAGATCAGCCAGGCAGTAGCCATCCACAAGTATTTTGTATACTGAAGCATTTCAAATATGGAAAGGCAAGCTAATGGTAAAGCAAGAGCAGGCATCCTGGAAGCCATCCTAACTGGGAGAACGAGTGAGAGAAGGGAATCCAGAGGACATGGCCACATTTGGGGAATGAAGATGATGATCATAGGCACTTGGTTTCTTTGGACCTAAGTTAGCCCAAGCCACAGGAATCCAGATCTACTGCCCTGCTAGTTTGGTTGATGTTTTTCCAAGATAAAAACCCCAAATCTCCAGGGACAGGTCTGGGCTCCTACTACTTTTTCATCAAAGCTTAATTCAAGGTGGAGGCAGAGAGTTAGACTAACCACACTGCTAAAGTCAGGGACACCAAAGCAACAGACTCAGCGTCAATGTAGGTCAAAGGATCAAGATGGCTTTTGTGGCCTTCGTCTTGGCCACAACGGGGTGTGCACTTTCCTCTCCTCACTTGCCTGACCTCGGGCATAGCCTGGTAGGAGGTTTTGTTCTTCAAGGGACAGAGGAATAGCCACTCGTGGTTTTGCAGATTTTAGGTAAGGGGCAGGAAAAGTGAACAGAGGGGAGAAAAGCTATGGAGTCTCATGAGTTCCCACATTATTCTCACTCTAGAATTCCCTGTATAAAGAGGAGTAATTTCTGGCAGGAAGTAAATACAGGCATACCTTGAAAATACTATTGATTTGGTTTGGAACTCTACAATAAGGCAAACATATCAGTAAAGTGAATCAAACTAAATTTTTGCTTTTCCAGTGCATGTGAACGTTATGGTTACATTAAACTGTAATCTATTAAGTGTGCAATAGCATTATGTGTAAGAAAAAGCAAACGCCTTAACTTAAAAATACTTTATTGCTAAAAAAATGCTAATCATCATTCTGTGCTTTCAGCAAGTTGTAATCACTGATGACAGATCACCACAATGGTAATGAAAAGGTTTGAAATATTGTGAAAATTACCAAAACATGCGACAGAGACACAAAATGAGCAAATGTTGTTGGAAAAATGGCACCGATTGACTTGCTTAACCCAGGGTTGCCACAAACATGCACAAAATATGCACAAAAATGCAACACTGGGGAAGCACAAACGTGCCTGCAAAGGAAAGTCCTATCTTTGAATCATCGTTGCTTTCCTAGGCTAAGCTTTGGTGGATGTATCTGATATCATTCTTGGGGGTTGAAGTGTTTCACAGAAATCCACATTTGTCCCCCCAAATTACCTACAAGATATCCTTGGGAAGATAAACCAGATAAAGGAAAATAAGAAGCCTAGAGAACTGTGTAACTACCATATTTAATCAAGAAAGACAAGGTCGGGTATCAATCTCAGCCTCCCGGTTTCCAGACCCTCAGCTCTCTTTAGGTTCTTGATGATATTATGACTCACATGCCTGAAATACTTGCTTCCAAGGCAGAAGAATGATTTACAAAAATCATTCTACATTTCTCTAATGCAACAACAGCTCTTGGAAATACTAAATACATCAGAATAACAGAATACACCTTGTTCACCACTTCTGGAACTGACTTTCCCAAATGTAAAATGAGGAAGATAGTTAGATAAAGAGAAGAAAGTTCAGGCAGGGGCACCTGGGTGGCTCAGTTGGTTAAGCATCTGCCTTTGGCTTGGGTCATGATCCCAGGGTCTTGGGATTAAGCCCCATGTCAAGGGCGGGGGGTGGGGGTGAATGGGTGACGGGCACGGAGGGGGACACTTGACGGGATGAGCACTGGGTGTTATTCTGTATGTTGGTAAATTGAACACCAATAAAAATTAATTTATAATTAAAAAAAAAAGCCCCATGTCAAGCTCCTTGTTTAATGGGGAGCCTGCTGCTCCCCCTGCTTGTGCTCTGTCTTCCTCTCTCAAATAGATAGATAGATAGATAGATAGATAGATAAAATCTTAAAAAAAAAAGAAAGTCCAGGCAAATAGAGAATTTTTGCCACCTTAATTGTGGAAGACAGTAGGGTTTTTTTTTTTTTTTTAAGATTTTATTTATTTGAGAGAGAGGAGGAGCACAAGCAGGGGGAAGGGCAGAGGGAGAGGGAGAAGCAGACTCTGCCTAGCACAGAGCCTAAGGACACAGTGCTGAATCCCTGGACCTCAAGATCATGACCTGAGTTGAAGGCAGATGCTTAACTGACTGAGCCACCCAGGTACCCCAAAGACAGCAGTTCCACTTTTATTAATGCAGTGGCTGGATAATACCAAGGCCACCTGATTTTGAGGGAGAGGCATCTGCTACTTGGAGACACCCTCAGTTGTATAGTGGGTATTTGGGGGAATGGTGGGTGATAAGATTTGTCCCAAAATCTGAACATTGATGAGCAAACAGGAGCTGTCCCCATCCTGTCCCTCAGGCAAGGGTTCATATTTCAGCTCTGCAATTTACCAGTTATGCAACCTTGGACAAATTGCTCAATCTCTCTCTCAGTTTCTTATCTGTAAAATGGGAATGATGATACTTACCTTTCAGGGTTGAAATCAAGATTAAAAGAGATGATGTCTGTAAAGTAGGTAGCAGAATGTCTAGAACACAGTAACATCAAACAAAGGGGATATTGTAGTTTTGTATTTAAATTCTGGGGGCAAAGATAGAGAAGAGGAAAGTGTTCCCTGCTGAGTTTAAATGCTTAAACACCCAGGAGTGGTATGCCTTTAGAATTCTCTGTCAGGTGGCCTGAGCCAAATCTGTTTTTATTTTTATTTTTTTAATATTTTATTATTTTTCATGAGACACACACACATAGAGAGACAGACGGAGAGAGAGAGACAGAGACAGAGAGAAAGAGAGAGAGAGGAGAGACACAGGCAGAGGAAGAAGCAGGCTCCATGCAGGGAGCCTGATGTGGGATTTGATCCTGAGACTCCAGGATCAAGCCCTGGGCCGAAAGCAGGCACTAAACCACTGAGCCACCCAGGGATCCCCTATTTTTATTTTATTAAAGATTTTTTATTTATTCATTTGACAGAGTGAGTGAGCGAGAGAACGAGCAGGGGAGGGTCATAGGGAGATGGAGATGCAGACTCCCCACCGAGCAGGGAGCTTGATACACAGTTCCACTCGAGGACCCAAGCCAGACGCCCAACTAACTGAGCCACACAGGTGCCCCTGAGCCAAATCTGTTTTTAAATACTCTTTTGCAGTATTCATGTGTTTACTATTACCATGGGCCTCCTCAGCTTCAGGCACTGTATCACAGCAACGAACAAGCTAGCAGTTTCCCCAGCTCCTGAGGTTTACACTCAGACCCTAGTTAACCCTAAATGCCTACTCTGGGTCCTCTTAGAGCTCTCCAAGATCTCAAAGGCCTTTTCAGGCAACCCTTTAAGCTTCAGGAACAACGGTAATGAGACTGAATAGTTACCGAGCCTTGAATTAGCTCACTTAACCTCAACAACAACCTTATGAAGGAGCCTCCATTATTTCCAGTCCCACTTCACAGATAAAGCTTAGAGAGATGAAATACAGCTGGCGCTCGAACAATGTGGAGTTAGGGGCACCAACCCCCTGTGCAGTCAAAAATCTATGTATAACTTTTGACCCCCCCAAAACTTAACAACTAATAGCCTACTGTTGACCAGAAGCCTTACAGATAACGCAGTCAATTAACTTATATTGTGTATATGTATTCTCACAATAAAGTGAGCTAGAGAAAAGAAAATGATATTAAGAAAATCATCAGGAAGAGAAAATACATTTACAATACTGTGTTGAAAAAAAAAAATCCACATACAAAGGGACCTGAGCAGTTCCAACCCATGTTGTTCAAGGGTCAATTGACATCTATCTGGTGAGTGAGAAAAGAGGGGTCTGAAGCCTGGGGGACAGGAAGGGAATGTGGCTTCCCATAGCAAAATCTTAGGCACGGAGGGAAGGAGGGGTGAGGGCTGGCTGGGCTTAATAATATTGATAGCCAATCTTTGAGAGAGAGAGCGCGAGTGGGGAAGAGGGGCAGAGGGTGAGGGAGAAGCAGACTATACTGAGCGGGAAGCATGATGTGGGGTTTGATTCCAGGACCCTGGGATCATGACCTGAGCCGAAAGCAGACACTTAACTAACTGAACTCCCTCCCTCAGGTGCCCCCCACGTACTACTCTTGCAAGGGTTTTCCTATGTTGTCTAATTTAATCTTCACTGTGGTTATCCCCATTTCACA